TATTTGGAAATAGCCGTTCTGCATGGCCACTTGCGAGTATGTGTGTGACTGGGGGTCTGTTCATTTGATAAACTCAATTAAACGCAATTAGATCTTCACAAAGATGACAAAGATTTCCATCTTCATTTAATTTGGCCGAGGCCAAAGAACAGAATCTGGTAACAGGATTGATCTGTTACAGCCATTACTGCTGCAGAAGCACATATATATACACATACATACACTCCTCTTGCCCCTTTTTTTGCGATAAGTGAGAGGATGGACAGATTTAGGTGGCACAGAAAACAGAGAAACTTTTTTTTTTTCTCCTGCAGTAGCAGTACTACCTTGTGTTTAAAAAGAGCTGTTCTCAAGAAAGTCTGCGAGGGTCAGCCCAAAGTCGAGCTGGTTTTGAGGAATGACCCAGATGTCTGTGCTAAGCAGGCAGTGTGGAGAACGAGGACATCAGGGATAAAAAAAAAAAAAATATGAAAATGCATGTGCAAGGTGGGGACTCCTGGCCAGTGTGACGCGGCTCAGACTGCAGGGCCTCGGATGCCATAAGACCAAATGCTGCGTTCGGTAAAGAGCTGTTATAAAACAACGGCTGACATTAGAACTTGGCACCAATGAAAGCCTTCCAGTGAAAAAACCTTCTAATTCCTGAAAAGTCTGGCACATGCGATACCAAATTGAACTGTTCGTCTCCCCTGCTAAGCCAGAGTAAGTGTGAAATTATTGTCACTGTTGTTATGCAGGGCGGGATTGCTCACGAGTGCTTGGTACAACGCTGAGAGATTGAAGTAGCCACACCTATAAAACACCATCATCCCAGCATGTATCTCCAGGTCCACGCGTCCCTCTGTGATGACACAAGCAGGTGACCCTGAAGTGGGCTTGTCCACAAACCACACCCACATTTTTTGGGCCTCTAATCCTCTCGGCTTAGGAGCACCGAGGTGAAGCGGACAGGCAGTCAAAACAAACACGCCATTCCGCCAATTACTTTCAACTCTATGCAAATGCGAACTAATATTACAGATCCTGGACTTTGACAGGTTCATCTCTTCATCCCGGTTCGGTGAGACGTTTGACAGTGGGCAGAATTTTAAGTGGTTCTCTGGAAGGATGAGCTGAAGTGTCAGTGTGCTTGTTGCAGTAGCGTTGACAGCTTCTCTATGCAGAGTTTGTCCAGACCTGAAAAGCCATTCATATCACATGAGCACCTCAATCAATTACAGGAACAAAAATCGCTCGCCACGAACGACGCATTTGTGCTGATGGGACTTAAGTGAAAAGCCTCAAGTCAGACGGAGATTCCTGTACATCTCCATTAACGATGGAGATGTACAGGAGATATGCTCACATGCATCTGTCCTTCAGATGCAGAGTCTGTAAAAAGTTCCAGCCAACCAAAAATAAACTGCAGTGGCAGTTTTAGAAAGAGTCAACAAATGAGTAGGCAGGGGGGAACCTTAATGCCATCAAGATGTCGAACACCAAGATGGTGGACAGGAGTACAGTTTGATCTGACAAGTGATTGCTGGACCCTCAGACGGAATGCTGACAGAACACTGAGGTCTTTTACTGTACAGGAGGCTTGGGCAGTATCTAAGTTTTCATAGCTTCTGGATACTCACCGCGGAATACGGTATTTAGAGCGACACTATTCCAGTATGTTGAAATCTTGCCGATAAAATCTGCTGAGTAGGGGTGTGGGGGATGGATTAATCACCAAGATTTCACAATACCAGGGTAAACCCAGTTATCATACCGGCCGAGCCTAGTGTGTCGTTTATAATGTGCAACTAGGTGTTTTCTCCCCCTCCAGCTGATCAAAATTTGCCAAAGAATTCAGAAGGTCCCACAAACCCCCCCCCCCCCCACCCCACCCCCCATGCCTGCTGGAGATCACTGAGCTATTTACTTTTCGTCGCATGACGCCCAGATGAGGAGTAGCTCCCGAAACGGACTTTTCTCAATCCACGATTCCGATAGCCACCTGCATATAAACACCTCAAGGCAAACGTACAAATGTGAAAGAAGGAATGGAATTGCTGAATGAATACTACTGGCAGAAAGTCAGCTTAGCCCGCAGCTAATGTTAATACTCCAGCGATAGTAAAATAAAAGCAGTAATAACATGCTTTGCCTCACATGGCTCATACTGGTCAAATATTAAAGCTAACACAGGGGAAATAAAATCATAAGGTCATTTCTTTATAAGTGTGTAGACAGCATTGTCTAAAATTAGACTGGGTACCCGAACTATGGCTTTATGATAAACATATAACTTTGGGAGCCCGCCTACACAATTCCAAGAGGATCAAGTTCCCTGACTTGCTACTGTTGAAAGTGGGGAAAAAAAAAATAAAGGGAAAAAAATCTGTTGTCTGTTGCAGAAGTGAGATTTCCTGCTGAACCCTTTCATTGGCAATTCACCAACGGGTGAATTCCACAGCTTTGTTTGCAATGTCCAAGAGCCTGACCAAAATGCGTGCGAATGGGAAGCAAACTCCCATCACTGCATCATCCTTCCCTTCTGATTTAAAGTTAACCTGCATATATAGCAATAACATCAATAAAGCAATAGTTCAAAATTACCTTCAGAAAAGAGGAAAAGTGCGCTGCAAGAAATGCAATGCATTAACCAATATACCTCCTCTCAACGCACAAACAAAATACAAATGTCAACAGCCAACAGCCTAAAAAATGAGCAGAAAATACAACATAGGCAGGGTAATAAGTTCTACCACAACTACAGTCAAAGATGTTTCCATGCTTCAGTATTTCAGTGTTACCAATGGTCATCATGCATCACAGGACTGAAAACCTATATCATTTATCAGAAAGAACCGTAATGTGCCGGCGCCCCCTTGGTTATGTTCACACTGAACAGTTGCTGAGACACACAATCAGTAAATACCTGTTCTTGTATATTCTTGCCAAAGCAAACTACTTAAAAAGTCAAAACCGGATTTAATATGTCTGGAATTACTGCTTCCAGTTGGGAATGTTTTTCATAATGCATTGGGAGCCAATCTAGAATTTACAATTGCGTGGGTCAATGAAGACACTCATGAGCACCACAAGGGAATAAAAAATGCAAGGAACCATGCGGGAACATAAATGTCTCTCACCGGTTACCCACGGTGAACTGCTATCCAGCCGTAGTGACCGACACCACCTATACTGTGCTTCAATCCCCAGAAAAATATCTAAACCATCTAATCTAATCCCAAATGAATTTCAATGACAGCAGATCTGATTAAAAACAGCGCATGCCATAAATCTCATGATCCGTGGGGTTTCCCAATTTCCTAAGAGAAAGAAATAATATCTCAATACACAACGATGTCTAAATCATCAAAGTAGAAAAACGGCGTTTTTTTTTTTAAGTGCTCCTCCACGCTATCCGGTCTCTGCGTCGCTCCTGCTCACGCAAGGCGAATACATGGATGCCGGCGCTATTCACATTGTCAGGCGATGCTTGTCATCAGCAAGCATGTGTCTGCGCGACATGTCAGTACACTGCGGAGACGGCGCGCGTCTCCGCGCGGCATCAGCTGCCCCGCGCCTCCATGCAGCGGAGCGCCGGCACATTAAAGGTCTGTGGGGGAATCCCTCTCCCTCAAACCCAAGGAAAAGATGGGGGACCCTCCACCCTCCGTATTGCTGTTGTGCAGACCGCCACTAGCGCACTGCACTCTGATTGACGCCGTTCAGCACCACAAGCAATGGACAGCACTCTTTCTCTGTGTGGAAATCAGGAGGGAGG